GGGATTCTTCTGATGGGAATTGGCATGTTCTACTTTAATGCCTGTTTTTCATTTTGTTGTATTGTGGTAGCTTGCAAATTGCTATGATGCTGGAAGCTATGCCATGAGTATTTCAAATACCAGTATTATCACCCATTATGGACAGCTTTTAGTGGCACTTCCAGGCTAAGGCAGACCAGGACAAAGGACCTGGCTATATGTGTCCAAAAATTAGCCAGTGAAAACCCTATGGATCACAATGAAACCTTGTCTGACTTGGTTGCTTTGTACACATCATCAGGAAAGACCAGTTGCTGGAGGCGGACATCATGTCTGGTAAAACAGGGGATCAACAAGGGTGAAGGAGACCCTGAGTGAGACAGATGGACACAACAGGGGCAATGATAGACTGGAACATGCTGGCAATTATGAGGATGACTCAGAATTTGGCAAAGTTTTGTTCTGTTGTACATAAGGTAGCCATGAGTCAGAGTCGACTGATCAATAGCTAACAACTTTAATGCAACCCTCAAATTTTACATAGTGATTTCCATAGGATTGTGCATATGGGTATCCCTTTTATAAGCCAGTTTTCCATCTTCTGCCTGACCATGAGTTGGTAAAAACTCAAAGGTAGAGGTAAAGAACATGTAATTCAGTCCACTGATCTACTTTGTTTTCACATTCTTCAATCAGCGTTCCAAACAGGATGAGGTATATTCACCTTAGAACGGCCATCCTTAAATCAAGTAGGTTTTTTTTGTGTTGTTGCTGGTCAATCAAGTGCTGTTTATTGGGAACTGTCCAAATGGCAGTGGGGTCTTGGAGCATCTCAGATGTTTCCAAATTTGGTCATGGGGTAAAAGAGACTCCCTGCTTGTGAGTACCTCTTGGCATTTCAACGGTGCCATGTTTCTGTATAAGCCATTTCTATCTCATTATGCAACTCTTCTGGGCATTGCCTTCCCTATTAGAGCATGTCTCTGGTATCACTCAAGGTATTATGGGCATTTCAGCTTCAAAGAGTATTTTAGATCCTTTAATTATTGTTGCAATCCAAATGAAGTCCAATATCCAGCTAGTAATTGTCTGTCAAATGGAAATTTTCTGGTTTAAAATGCCAGCTGTTGTCACTTGGTGGCATTTACAGGTTTTGCTGGTTTTCCTGGAGATGGGGAGTTGAGCTATGGGACTCTAGCTCTTTCATCATTCCTTATATTGATTAGATTGAAGGGGCACTGCTCCAGGCAAATAGAGGTCAGCTGTCTCATTGCCATCTTTGCCTTGCAACTTTTCAAATTCCTCCAAAGTAGGATGAATAGAGAAGAATTGTTCAGGATCTTCAATGTTAGAGGACCACCAGGAGTGCCTATTGATCTACACATGCTTCAAGAGTGCTGCATTAAACTTTTGTTTCAACCCCATCAATTTCTGCTTTATTCATCCCATTTCTTAAAAAACATCTAAATATTTCCACGCAGCTGCGCAAGTCCCTTAAAACTCCCCTTTCTTTTTCCGCATCAATGTTTGCTTTATTTGTCCCATTTCTTAATAACCATTTAAAGATTGCACCCTGCTGGGATGAGTCCCTTGACTCTCCCTTCTGTCTTCCACCATTGCTTTAAGAATCAGTTTAACCTTCTTCATATTGGTTGTTTCAACATACCTTGTCTCTGGAGATGGCTCTGCGGATAACAGCTGTACTAAGGCCTGGCCAAAATCCAAACTTTGCCCAGCTTCAGTATCTTCCCCAACACATTTCTGCAGTGGGGGCCTTAGGACTAGAGATTGTAGTTTGGACTGGCCAGCATCTAAGCTTGGCCCATCTCCTACTTTCATACTTACAATAACCAAAAACAAAAACAAACAAACAAACAAAAACCATTGCCATCGAGTCAATTCCAACTCACAGCAACCCTATAGGACAGAGCAGAACTGCACCGTAGGGTTTCCAAGGAGTGGCTGGTGGATTCGAACTGCCAACCTTTGTTTAGCAGCCAAGCTCTTAACCACTGTGCTACCAGGGCTCCTACAACAACCAAGAAATTTTATATTTTGCTTTTTTCTTGTTAATCTGCATTTCCTTAGGTATCCAGTGAGCCAGCTCCTCAGGAATTGCATCCACCCTTTATGAATTCCATTCGTAATGTTTACCTTTAGTAACTTATTGCAGTTCAGTTGAGTTTCATACCACGGGTGATTCAATAGCCATCCAAGATTCAAAAGCTCCTCATTCCCCCACCCTTTTATTCTTTCTCTTCTCAAACCACAATGTTTCCATGAGTCAGGGTCATTCTAGCAAATCCTATTTCTGACACCACCTTTAAAATCTATTCAATTTTGTTCTGATACTAACTGCAATTAGTTCTTCTGACCCTAACCACTCAGAGTAAGGTCAGATTTCACACATTAAGGGCCTTGGTCCTCCAGACTTCCAAGTGTGCACAAGACTTCAGACAAGCTTGGAGGTTCCTAGGACACCTGGATTTCTAACCAACAGGCTACAAATTTGAGTGTTTCTACTACCCTCTCAGGTTCTATAATTCACTAGAATGACTCACAGAACTCAGGAAAGCACTATACTTACAATTACAGTTTTATTATAGTAAAAAGAATATGTAAGAAGGGACACATAAGGTGAGGTATGGGAGGGTTACTAACATGGAGTTTTTTTCCCTAGGTATCCTTTACTCTCCTGGTGCATCTATGCCTATCACCAACCAGGAAGCTCACCCAAGCTTCAGTGTCCAGTGTTTTTACTGAGGTTTCATTATGTAGGCATGATTGATTGAATCACTGGTCACATGGTTGAACTCATTCTCCAGAACTCCTTCCCTCCCCAGTAGTAGGGCTGATATCACCTTGTGGATCTTTGTCGCATGGTCAGTCTCCATCCTGAGTCATCAAGGCATAAATTGTCAGGTGGTTTGGAGCCCTATATGAACTACAAGACCTTCCAATCACTTGGGAAATTCCACGGGTTTAGAGGTTACCTCTCAGGAACAAGGGCCAAAGACCAAATATTTGGGTAAAATAAAAATAACTAAAAAATAAAACAAAAATCAGGAGTGTTCTATTGGGTGGTGCATTATTTTACCCAAATTTGGGTAAAATAATGCACCACCCAATAGAACACTCCTGATTTTTGACTGTAGTTCTTTATACATGCCTAACATTTGGAGGATTACTCTTCAGTCCCTTAATGTAACACTATTTATACAATGATAAGCTACTGCGGAACTATTTAGCATATAAATAATTGATAATTGGCTAGATCCGGTTCTTCCTCAAGCACATCATTTTTCATTGGTATTACATAGAGGAAGCTTTTACTCAATCTCTCAATGCATTTGGCCATCAATATCACTGTTATAATCTTACCAGTTATGCCAGTGTTATATGGTATCACAGTGTATTAACAGTAACCTGAAAAACAAAGAGTCAAAAGATACTAGCACATTTCTAGAGTCCCCCATCAGTCATTAGCAATTAATCCAGTACATCATCTTATCATATTACCAAAATGTCTCCCAGAGTGAGACCACTCAGGTTTTTAGGCTTCCACTCCTTCTTGTCAGGTTCCAAAAGCATTAGTGGTCTCATTATTACATGGCATCATCTTTTCAGACATCACATAGTTATCTGAGAGATAATATTATCTCATGCTTTTAGTCTCTTCTGAGGCATTAATATAATTTTTTTATTTTCCTCATTAAATAACCCATTTATTCAGTCCTTTACTCTCAGCTACTATTGCTACTTTTCTCTATTTCTACCCTATGTTTTCCACTTTTGGAAGGGATGTTAGGTTGGTCATTGTGCTAGATTGCTAATCTAGTTAGTACCTCCCCCTCAGTTTACTATCATTCATGACAGAAGTCATCCCTGCTTCCATTTCTTGGAGTTGTAGTCCTGTTCCTGGAACCATATCATCAGGTGGGAAAATGGGAAGTTGAGATGATGTGGGGGAGTGGGGAAGGAAAAAAAAAAACATTGAGGTGTTACGGGAATTAATTCTTTGTAATGGCGATGGTGGAATGTCATTTTGGTAGTAAGCAAATTTCTCTGGGAAAAAAATCCACTATATTAGGTGCTCTAAAAATGGAAAAAGGACATTTAGGAGCAAAATGGTGTGGGTGTTAAAAGTGGCTGTTGGAACAAACAAGCAAGTAAGAGAAAAGCATTGAAAAAATGTCAAATAACATAACCTAGATAGGTCTGCCTTACACTAGAAAATGAGTTTTTAATTAATACGCTCAAGGAGAAACAAACAAAAAACCCCACTAAGTTTGAAACACCAGAACTGCAAAAGAACACTGAATGAATGAATGCTGACTATGTGGAAACTAAGGGAAGTTTTTCATCAGGTTTAGAAGCGTAGACACAGTTGGCAATTTATGAAAGAGAATGGTTTTTGTTTTTGTTTTTTTTAATTGGGAAACTTGAAGTACAGAGCTTCAGGAGGAAGTAGATAAATATCCTCAGGTCTTAAAAAAAATTAATTTTATAGCAAATTACACAGGCAAAGTACAGAATTCTTGCATCCATGAAAAAAAGAATGTGATAATCTGAAAGAAGTAGAATAACTCAAGGAACAGAAGAGTCAAGCTGTACTTGTGGCTGAGCCTAAAACTCCAGACATTATTATAAAACTAGAACCTGAAGTATCTAAACTGAACACAACAGAGAGTAATCTTGAGAAGGATATAAAACATCATCAAAATATAATTTAAGATGAAAATCAGAGTAAGATTCAACTACTTTAGTCCTTAAAAAAAAAAAACAAACCAAACCTACTGCCATTGAGTCGATTTTGACTCATGGTAATCTTATATGTTATAGAGTAGAACTGTTCCATTGGGTTTTCTTAGATATAATCTTTACGGAAGCCAAATGCCAGGCTTTTCTTCCATGGTGTAGCTGAGTGGGTTCCACCCTCCAACCTTTAGTTTAGTAGTCAAGTGCAAACCATTTGCTAACTTTAGTTTAACAGTCAAGTGCAAACCATTTGCACCGCCAAGGGATAGACTTCAGTGCAAAGGACCAGAAAAGAGAAATGGATGAGTTTGAACACCAGGGCGAGTACGTGAACATCCTACACACCAGACCTTTTCAGAGGAAGGTGAGAAAATTAAGACTTTGCAAAAACTCAAAACACAGTTGCCTGAAAAAAAGAGAACAAACAGAGAATTCTGATATTTTCAAAGAAACAAAATTTTGGAGTCTTAATACAGAAAATGGATGTGGAAAGCATCATTCATCTAAGCCAAACCTGAGAGATTAATAAATTAAGAATAAGAATTAGAGATTAAACTGTTAAATGAAAAGAATATATCGTTAATGAAACAGAGAGATCAGTTATCCAAAAATGAGGTTTGTGAATTAACTCAGATCATCTAGTAGAAAGACTTGGAGATATAGTGTCTTCACACTGTAATTTGTTCAGCTTCCTACACCTCAGATGTTGTTTACCTTCAACAGCAACTGCAGGCATATCCTATGGAAAGAGAGGCAAGGTGCAGTCAGTACACGTACTGATTCTAGGCTAGGACCCTTTACCATAATATCAGGTCCCTGGAGGGTCTGCGTGTGCACATTGAAAAGCATGCCTAAAAATGTAATTCTATAATAAACAAAACATGATACCTTCATGAATAAAAATGATGCTATTTTATCACAGTCTTTTAGGGTTTATATTTTTCCACTGAAAAATGTGCTTTCACTCACTAATAGATACCGTCTCTGATAATACAATATTTCACAACACTGTAACTATGTAACAAGGCCAAGGAAGATGAGATTCCAAAGAAGCTGCAAAGATTCCAGATCGCATTCTACACCTCCTCCAAAGTGAAAATTTCAACCTGCAAAATACCATCAAGGACTTCAACAGAAGCAAGGTCATAAGGTGATGCCAATCAACATGAAATGTCAGTATTACAGAATGCACATCAGCAGAAATGAGTCATCAGTATCAAAAATAATTAAATGACTACGAAGAACGAATTGAAGAACCTGAACAATCCTTACAGCAAGGTGGCTCAAGTACTGGAGTTGCTGACCACTTTAAAATTCACAAGCTGCAAAAAACCATACAAGTTCCACAAACTGAAAGAGTCGAGGCCACCAAAAAAAAACTGAAGAACTTGAGTCTAGAGTAAACGACATCAGTAAAAGTTACCTTCTGCAGAAAAGGACAGATGGTTTGAGGAGAACTGCTAAATAAGGAAAAGACACAGATAAATAATGTGAAAGCTTGACAAGGGAGCGTGGTAAACTGCAGGCTTATGTTAAAAACCGAAGTGATACTGTGACAGAAACATACAGAATTCTACAGCGTACACCAGTGGCAGAAGTATTCAGACTAAAGCAGGCACTACCTGATCCTGAAAACGAAATCATGAGACTTAGTGGTTTAAAACAGGACATCAATGTCACTGAAGACAAACTGAAAATCAAAAAGCATGTCCAAGTATTAGAAAAAGAGAATTCATTATTGACTCAAGAAAAGGAACACCTTCAAATATCACTGTTAAAAGTGAACAATGAATGGGAAATCATTAAAAGTACAGCTACGAGAGACCTGAATTTGGATTAAGAATTAAATGATTTGAGACGAGCTTTGAGGCCAAGGAAGATGAACTCAATCCGTGTATTACTAAAAAGAAATGCTGGTAGCTAGGATAAAAGAGTTGAACAAAATGGAAACAAGAAGCTACAAAGCACATGTTTTTGATGAAAGATCGCTATCCCTGCAACAAAATGAAGGAGGTAGCATCATCAATAAACTAAAGCAAGATCTAGAGGATGAAAAAAAGGGTTTGTCAACTTGAAGATGACAAAATGATCATGACTGAAGAGCTGCATGTGCAGAAAGAAATGTTAATTTAAAGTGAACTGGTGCTTAATGGTTTACATTCAACCCAACAGAATCTGAAGGATAAAGTAGAATATTTAATAGATCAGTTTAATAAGCCACAAGAAATAATTTATACATCCAGAAGGAGAACTTTTGAACTTACCAGACAAAAGGAAGAGGTATTTTCTAGAGTCAGGAATGAGTTCAGTCTCTTAATCAAGATTCTAACAGTAGTTTTAAGCATGACTTTCTTAAAGAAATGAAAGGTGAAGTTAGAAACCTAAAACAAAATCTTTCAGAAATGGAACAGCTCAATGAAAATTTAAAGACATTGGCTTTGATCTCAAAATATAAAGTGAAAGTTGAGTTTAGCATGTGACAATGTAAGAGAATTGGAGATTAAACTTCCAAATGAAAAGAATATCTCTTTAATGAAACAGATTGATCAGCTGTCCAAAGATGAGTTTAGTAAACTGACTCAGATTACCCAGCAGAAAGATTTGGAGATACATGGTCTTCACGCTAGAATTTGTTCAGCTTCCTGCACCCAGGATGCTGTTTATCTTCAACAGCAACAACAGGTATATGCTATTGAAAGAAAACAACTATTTATTCTTTTCAGTGAGAAGACCAGGGAAAATAGCCAGTTGAAAAGGCAATATCACAAAATTACGGATATAGTGACTGCCAAAGAAGCAGTCCTCAATAAGCTGCAACATGAAAATAAAAAATTGTCCAATGTATTTCAATGCTGTGGCCTGAATATGTTTAGACATACTGCTCAGAATTTATCATGTATCATTCGCATAAAAGACATTGTAATGCATGCATCAGGTCTTAAATGTGAGACTTTATTGAGAGCTTTACAGACTTTGAGTCCTTGTAATAAGGTTGGAGGTGTGGTAAGTAATCAGCTGGAGAGGCTGCCTGATGTACTAAAGAAATCGATGAACGTCGTAAACAGCACTGCAGGAAAAGTGGACAAAGTCCTAATGAAAAACCTCTTCGTTGAATATTTTCACACACTAAAAAATAAGCGCAACTAAGTGTTATGATTAATGAGGAGCCTCCCGAGTATTCAAAGGGGAGGATGATCCAGATGGATGAGTGCCTAGCTTGCAGGTGGATCAAAAAGTGACCCCAACACATCTCTGAGACCAAATCAACAATCTGTGATTCACATTTCCTTTTCAGAACCTCTTGTTAATTTTCTAAAACAAAGTCTCATCCATCAATTCCACCATCAAAGGTTTCACTTCGGAATATGACAAGTCTAGATTCAATAGGAAGGAGAACACTAGCTAAAACTGTACCACGAAGTGTGCAAGACGCAACAGGATGCAGAACCAGTAGAAGAGCAGATGTGAAACCATTCTTACCTTCAATATCTGGAACTGGTGAGTCTGGGCATCTTCATTTGAAACCCATCTCAGATGTCTTGCCAACTTTTATACCTTTGCCATCGTTACTTGAAAACAGCACTAGAGTTTTGCTGAAAGACCTTTAAAGTAACAGATGATTCTAAAGGCAGAGATGATAAATGGCACTTTATAGAAACCACGAACACTCTGAGTATGTATTTTGTCACAAAGTGGCCTTTTGGAATAAGCCAGATATTTGTTTGCAGTTAGTAGTTTCTCTGAATTTAATTAAAATATTCTTAATGCTTTTTTTAAAAGTACTCTTTATGCGCTGTAGGGATATTGACCAAACCTGAAACAGTGGTTACTCCTTGTGAGGGTAGGAAATTGGTGAGATTGGAGGCTATGGTTAAAGGATAATTCAGTATTATTTGTACTTACTTTTGTACAAGGAACAGATATTTATGTATGTCTTCTGTTGTTAAAAATTGAAATCATGTTAATCTTCAGAAATTATCAAATACATGAGTTCACATCCTTGCATATGACACAATGTGAACAGCACAAAAGTACAAGATGTATTGGTGCAGTGGTTAAGAGTTTGGCTGCTAACCAAAAGGTTGGCAGTTCAAATCCACCAGCAGCTCCTTGGAAACCCTATGGGGCAGTTCTACTCTGGCATATAGGATTGCTATGAGTTGGAATTGACTCAGTGGCAATAAGTTTGTTTGGTTTTTTGGCTTTTTTCCAACTAAGTCCCATACCCTCTCCTTTGAGCAGGGTTAAGATTTTTAAGAAATATAAGTGCGTTTGTATATATGAGAGCATATTAGTTTTTGACATGCTTTACTACACTTTGGGCATCTCTCCAAACGCAAATGAATTCCACCTTATTCTTTTAAAAAGCAGTGGGTCATTTTATGGGTTTACTCTAATTTATTTATCAACCTATTGATTGGCCTTTATGCTGTTTCCACTCCAACCCCTATCAAATATCCCTGGTCAATATCCTCCAGGGCCATTCCAAATCTTCAATAATTTGCTCTAGCATGGTCAGATCTTACACCCTCCTGAAGGCTGTAGAGTTCAGTAGTCGAGAACTTTTCTTCATTTCCCACATCCCTTTTCTCTGTTTTTCCAACTCCTCCTCATCCATTTGCACCTCCCACACTTTTGTTCAGAGGAACACACACCCAGCTTTGTAGTTCAAGGCTAATTGCTCCATTGAACCCTGGAATCCATCTGTTCAGACTTCTCAGACTTCTTGTGACTTCCATCCATTAAATTTCCATTCTGCTTTGTCTTCAACCTGACTCCTTCCCTAAGCACATGAACATACTCATGTCTCTCCTGGTGTAAAACTACTCTCCCTTCTGCTCCTCCAGCAAATACCTTATCTAGCGTGCGAGACGAAGCATGTGGAAAGAATTATTTTCTCCTTGCCACCATCTCCTCATTTTTCATCAGCTTCTTTTTGAAAGCTGCATGAAATATATCTGGGTTTGGCTATATTCTTCTGGTTTTGCCACTTGGTAGGTGCATAGTTTGGGACAATTAACCATCTTTTCACTCGGGTCTCCTCATCCGTGAAACTGGGTTAATGATTCCTACCTGACTGGGTCGTTGTGATGATCGAAGGTGTTTATGTGTTTAAAGTCCTTAGCTCGGCGCTCTGCACTGAGTCAGCACTGGAGAAATATTTGTGAAATTGTCAAATGAGCCTGATACCCCACTGTCACAACTGACACTTGTTTCCTCCAACCGAAGTCTCTGCTTTCACCCCAATGCTGCAGACCCTGCTAGCTCTTCTGCCGTGAGTTATAGTCATAAAATTCCGTGACCAGCCTAATGTCCCCTGAGGTCTCTCAAAGCACCTAAGACTACACACTTCCCAGACAGGACTGCAGTCCTCTCGGGTCAATTTCAGTTTTCTTTCTCTGTTGGTGAACTCCTAGGTCATGTGAGTGGGACCAAAGGAGTTCTCCAATGAGCAGGAGCGTGGAATGAGGGGCAAGGAAATAACCCAATGAGTGACTGTGCAGAGGAGTCAATTAAGCAGGAAGGCAGCTTGGGCAGCCATGGTGGGTGGCCTTTAAGCTCTACACCAGCTGAACCGGGTGGAGTCCGGGCCTGCTCTCCTGCCTTCTCCTGTGGCCAGCTCCTTTCTCTGCTGTGGACCTCTCTTTCCTATCCCTGGAGGGCACAGCAACTTCACCTGCCCTTTCCCAGGCCACTTGCCTGAGTGGGGCCTTGCTCACTTCCTCTTCCTCTACCTGGAGCTGCCACATGGACCATGATGGTGTAACGCCCCTAGGAAGTGCTGCCCTCCAGTGCCTTCACTAGGGTTGGTGTCACCCAGTATGGTAACTCATGGTGTCACTAACCTCCCCATGGACCTCCTACCCTACCAGACCATACAGAATCCTTAGTAATGTTTATTATGAATTTTAATCATAGAATAATACGTGAAAAATATAGTTGTAAATTGTTTAAATGTAATATTTCTTAGATAATATGAATACTAGCAAAATTGTTTGCTAAATCTTTTACATTGAATCACAACGTTATTAGTTACATCATTAGCTGACGAAGCCTGTTTTGATTTTTCTCCTTTTCCTTTAATTACTACTTCATTTTCAGAAAAGTTATTGATATAGGTTCACAAATAATAATTATAGCTAAAACATCAGAAAATTTGACAGAATCAGCAACGATAAAATCGCCAGCTGCAACAAAAAACAATAGAGTATGCTTATCGAGTGTGCAGAAGAAACCACATGATTCCAAGTGTCATTGTAATTGGGTAATAATGACAGCTCTGACCAGAGCACATTAGAAGGTTCAAAAAATAAATTAACATAGAGTTTTAGCCTTGTAGGTATACTGAAACATGTAAGCTGGGCTTAAGAAAATTGATTTTGTTGTTATAAATAACTACAGGACTATTTTAATAAAAAATAATAAATTTCTGCTGAAACACTGCACAAAAATTTTATTGACAGTTCTTTTGGGGTCACCCCCTTGACAGTGTCACCATGTGCAGTCCATGTCCTACCCCTTCCCCCCGCAGTGACACAAGTACTTCCCTGTGGAAAAGGTGTTTGCAGGGCATGGGGTTAATGATCTTTAAGCTGAGAACAAATATTTATTAAAAACTGGGGTGTAGGAAGAGTGTCCAGGCAATGGATCCAGCAAGGAAGGAGTAGAGACTGTTAGAAGAACTGAACCAATGCTCTGGAGGCTGAAGTAGTAGTCTGGGACCATATAGGGTGTAGGATGTAGTGTGGGGGAAATTAGAGTTCTGGATTAAGCCAGAATATAGTATTAAATCATCACCCCTAACACTTCTTGTGGGTTCATGGAGACAAAACATAGCGA